TTTCATATATATTATGCATCTTTCTCGCTTGCGTTCCAAGGGACTAATCCGACGGACTCAACTTATCAGTAATTAAGTTCTCTATCGTACTTGTGTACCGTTGAAAATCCCTCCAACTAACTAGAAAACTAGCTCAAGAGATTGGCGGCAACAATTTTTTTTTTTTACCAGTAAGACTAACTATTTAAACTTTCGCTTTGTTAAGGAGGGAAGAGTTAAACCTTTGCGAGAAGTATTTTATGAGCTTAACTCTCAAATACTTCATTTAAGTTACTATCAAAAAATCCTTTATACAGAAATATTCACCTCTAGTGTTTGACCTAAGAGGTTCTCCTACTACAGATTACCCAGCTCTTCCGAACCTGGGAACAGTAAACTGTGGTGGAAGCTAAATTTCCTCCCACTGTTCTAGGAATCTTCACGGCCAACCTGGGGGAGGTAAAAAAAAAAAAGAATCACACGGAAGCAATGTTACTAGATATTTGGGAGAATAATTTTGAGGAATTTTGAAATATCAGGGGGGGGAGGGGGAGAGAAATGAACCACTACTATTGCCTGCCAAGTCCACCCTTCGGCCAGACCCTAAGTTCTCGGTGACTTACCCCCGCCAACCTCCCCACTAACAAGCTACACCTATGAAGAATTTCTTTCAACCACATTAACTAATTAAAGCCTGGTTAAAATACCACCAATAATCACCACCGCTGATCACCATTAATAAAAAAAAAGGGGGGGGGGAGGGGTAAACTGCCAGTCCCCCACTATCTTGGCTCATGAGTCACAATTGCACTTTCCTACCCATTTTAAGATCAAATTGAAGATTAAGATTTACTTTTTAGAAGATTTTAAAAAATTAAAAGAAGCCAGTAGTCCACCAACCTTTGGTCAGGCTATTTATTCCAAGTCTTTCTTTTTGGAAAGTCCCTCTGCATCTACTTTCAATGGCCTTAATTAAAGCATCCCTGAAAAAAAAAAAATATTATAGTTACACGAGTTTCAGCAAGTGTCAAATATGCTTAAGTAGTTTTATTCCCTCATTACCTTCTACTGGTGTTAAGTTGTCCTCCACAAGGCAGAACACTGGCGTGGTCTACAGAAGCAAACACGGTCATGTTGACCATCACCAGTCCAAAGGAAGTCTATCTTCACAGTGTTTACAACTTTATCCTTTTCGCCGGCACACAGGCATTCACGCGTCCAGGTAATCCCATAGTTATGTTTCCAGGATTTTGTAGTCTGAACTTTCCTGCAGTGTCACAGTCACCTCAAGATTATATAAATCATAACTGTAGACCATAATTTTAACCATCACCAATGGCGTTTTGAATTAAAATTTTTCAACCGCTACCAAACTTCGTATGGTTCATGCATTAGAGAAAAAAAAAAAAAAAAAAAACACACACCCAGTCGCCAGCAAATTTGCAGTCACGGATATTTACAAAAATCATAAAGCTTAGGGACAGACTCATACTACATTTGTTAACTAGGTTAACATCGTCGTTGCACGAGCTGAAGGTATCCCGTATTACCTAACTCCAGTACCTGTCTGCTTCAAGGAATAGTGAGGCTAACGAGTTATTATAATGCATTTTTGAAACTAATGAAGTTTAAAAAGATTATACAGCTTGATCCTATTCAAGTTGTCAAAGCCAAAAACCACTACCATAAACTACGCAAAGTACATTAAGCTTTAACTGCTGGGAGTTTTTTACCGAAAAAAAAGCTTTGAAGGGTTGAAGGTAATCTCAGTAAGACAAAATCTATTTTCTCCCCAGTTTGAGAGAGAGACAACAAAAAAAACTTACAGAAGCTGGTGCTAGCTTAGTACACAAACTTGCAAATTTTTGCAAACTGGTTTGTTAGCTCAACCTTTAGGAGTCTAAGAACAGTTACTTGATCAACGAAAATTACCAATATTCAAATTAGACTTTAGACGCTATTTTGATTAATAGGTACTTAAATTTCTACAGCAACCACTTTCCTTTAGAAAAATAAACAGTAGTAAGTTTAAAGCTACCCAATACTTTTTCCAGCTATTGCACAATACAACAAAATGTGCCGTAGCAGAAAACTGTATTCACTTCCTAGAAAATTAACCATTTTAGGTTTTATAAGTTTAATTTTTTAATTAGAGGAAAGCGCTACAGACGTAGGGATGGGTATAAGGTCAAACAGCACCCGTGGCATAGGAGCCCTAATGGATTTAAATGGTCAAAGCATTTTCTCAAATTAAGACCTCCGAGGGATACTATCGAGCTCCTTTAGCTAAACAATGCTAAGGATATCCTCTTTCAAATTACAAAGGAACCTAATCGGTATTAAAGCAAATTTTTTTGTCTAGGCCCCTTAAACAGTATAAAGGTACAAATAATGAAACGTGGTAAAGTACTAAAGTCCTATAGCATTCAGACGGAAGGGCGGGGGCCACCTATACCATTAATATATCCACTAGGAGGATAAAAGGTAAATTCTGAGGCTATCAAATCCCAGTCCTCTAACCCATCAACAATTTGAGAATGTCTAGATAGCAGGTGCATAAGACACCTACGCATTCAAGTAGTAACCACGAATCTTGAAGCAATGAAATAATGAGAAAAGATGGAGAAAATCAATGAGTTTGGACAGTTATTAAAACGAAGTTTCCCCCCCTTCGTTAAACTATCAAAGATAACTTTACTTATTTCAATACTTTTGAATCCTTAAATTTATCCTTAAGATAAAGGAACATTAGGTTTGAAGATTAACAGAAGATGATGCGTTTTCTGAATCTTTGAAATTTAAATTAACGGCAAAAAGTAACATTTTAATAAGTCCAGCAATGGGTACTACCAAGCCTCAACAGCAAAGGCATGTATATTAATCAGACTGGGAGATTCAAAGTTTAATTTCAGAATCTTTACCTGGTAATTGTATGGCATTCTTATAGAAACGAATCTAATTTTTTCTTAAGCAACTGAAAAATTGCATCAAGTTGGCCATGCAACCCACCGCGCAAGAACCTTTCATCTTGCTGATTACAGTATGAAATTTTGAAGTAATCCGACTTTCTCCTGTTATGGCATGGATTTCCAAAGTTCTTACCAAGATTTCCGCTCACCCAAAATTATGGTAAATTCTGACCCAAATTCATCACCCTTAAATACTGAAACCTTTCAGATAAAGTTTTCATTTATTGCACTACACATTTGAATGACTTGCGAATGTTTCAACCTACTTCAGTGAATGACTTTGAAAGTTTATCACAGTCCAAAATTGAAAGCCTTTCAACACCTGGGTCTAGTGCACGTGGAACATGCCGAGTGCTCCAGGAACTTAGACTTGTTACTGCAAAGTTTAAAATCTGTAGCCAACTGAACGAGCTATGATAAACTGCTGAAAGGGTGAAAATGTAGGTACTTAAAACGGTACCCCGCCCTTTAGAGGTATGCAACATAACTAAACTAAAACGCCTACCATACTAAAATTAATCAATTTAAAATAATTTAAAAAAAACTACAATTAACGGGAGAGCCTTAAAAGCCTGGCAATTTTTGGAAAGGCATGGGAAAGCACAGTTGATGGTTTTCTAAATTAGGCAAGCAAATTAAAAGTATCGGAAGGGGAGAGGGGGGGGGGGCCCATTCTCAAAGGAAGGCTCTATCTTAGAGCATAGACTACAGTGTTAAAGAAGAGTAGGGAAAGCATGGCAACTGCCAACTTCACGTGCTACAACTACCTCATTTAAAGCCAGAGCGCAACGAACAAAAAAGCAACACTCTGGCATTGAGATTCAGCATAGAACCTGACAGGCAAATGGGCGATCCAGTAATTGAAAAGCTATAACATCCGGAGGATTTCCTCCACGTTTGACTGAAGGCGGCAGTGTGAGGTCTAGAAGATGGATGAAGGTGACTAGGGAAGAGTTTCAGATAACCCACGCCTTTTTCAGGTGAACACACACTGCCTTACCAACCCAGTTCAGTATGGTATCTGGTACTTTAGGATGCTGCTCAGTCACTCCCGACAACCTGTAATTAACCATTTTATACATATGACCACTTGTAACCAATGGAGTACTGAAATTTATGTAAGCAGAGAACTTGGGGGAAAGAGCAAAGTATTGTATATAAACTGGACGGTTTGCAAGATAAGGCTTCCACAACCAGTCTCTGGAAGTTTGTTCTAGGAAGTACCTGGGCCCTGCTGCTGCTCCCTGGATGGACTTGCTGTGTGCTAACAAGTTGCTGCCACATCCGGTCTACGTCTGCGAAGACACTGATTGGCTGTCGCGCTATAGAAAATAAAAAAAATAGGAAGTAACTCCAACTTAAATTGGGGTCTTTAATCAGTTTCGAAGTAGTTTTCACATTTTCAAATTTCAACCAATAATTATCCTTGTGGGTGTAGTGTTTTTTTATTCCATCAGTTTATAATGCAATTACCAATAATCTGGAACTTTCAGGTCATGCATACTGTATTAATCCTCGTGTGGCTAGATATGATGTAGTCTACGTTCCCTGAAAGGAGTTCTTTTATTCTGGGAACGAGGGAAGGCTTTAAATGAATATTCATAGAACGATCTCCCATTCCCAGAGTGAGAACCAATAAGCTTAGCGCTCATTTATTATACCTATTTAAATTTAATGACAACCAATCACGATATTATATTTAAAGAAACCGACAATTTAATGTTTAAGATTATAGATTACAAGTATTTGCTTTAAATTTAAATTGCTTCATAAATGAACTCTGTCAAAGTTGGTAGCATTAAAAAGCATAAAGCTTTTTAGATAAATTTTTTTGAAATTTTTAAATATTTTGCAATCTACTTTCGCCAACTAAGTTAATGGTATGAAATCATTAATGGAAAAAAGACATACCTTCCTTTTCACATGTCTTGTTTTCAATCTTCAAATCATGAAGACGTATAGTCAAATTCCTGAAATAATTATGGTAATAACTTCAGTGACTGATGAGCCGATTATCCCTTTTTATATTAAACTTGAATCTTTAAATACTTACATCGAACATCTTAAGGGCATCCACATAATTTGTATAGTAGACTGGGAATGGAAACCGCGGAAATAAATTCTCTTCTCCATCTGGAAGAAATTTTCCACTTATTGATGGGAAGCAACAAGGTACACAAAACATTTAATTCTTAGGTATTAGAACTAACATCTTTAGAATCTAGAACTTAAGATCAGTGATGCAAACCAAGCTAATCTGGCTCATTCTGTTACCAATGAACTTTTCTTTTTTACCAAACTTGCTCTGTAATCTAAGTTGGAATTTTTTTTTTTACAATACATTAACAAGCAAAGGGTACTAAAAATTAGAGATTAATTATTCATCAGAAAACTTTCTGCAACACACAGACTGTTGAGAGTCCTGACTGAAGATCTGTACATGACCTAGAATACAAGGCTCGTGAAAAAATTATAGTACATTATAGTGACAATCCAACTTTCTTTACTAGGTACTTCAAGGTCTAGTCTTCATCCATTATCACTTCCTTTGCCCTTTGTGTTTTATACATTAATTACTAGCTATTTCATTGTGCAAGCCCTCAAATTTAATACCAAAGGAAAAAAAATCCTTAAACATGCCAACACCCATAGTATTTACATAATCAATCAGTGAAAGATTCTGTATTCTCCAAAGCCACTAATTCTACCTCAGATTAGTTAAGGATTGTGTGAAAGTAGCGCACCAGCGACTTATCTATAGTTCGGGAGGGGGGCCTCTGCTCAAATAATTTTAGCCAGCATGATAGTTTATTTAAGCAAGACATGCCACACCTGTTTAAACCGACTAAAAATTACCTTTCGTAGGAAGGTAAGACGTTCCTTCCAATTGTTTCCTACAATATTCGTAGTCATTAACTTGGCTGTTGAGCCAAGGATATATTTGAAGTTTTCAACGTAGCTAAATAATGTATCCGATGTGATGGGTCTGGTGCATCCGACAGCAGTTCGGTGCTTTTGTCTACAACACCTGTAGAAAAAGCATTAAACCTTTTCACATGAAAACTTCATTTAGCTGAAAATAGTTAAAATTAAATTAGCAGCACGTAAACAATTTAATTAAATCTAGATATATTTTGGCTCACTAGTACTGTGTACATTAACTTAAAAGTTATATTGATGGGGCACCGAACTCACCCAGACTGCACAAAGAATTAGGTTCAGCGGATAGAGTAAACATTGTGAGGTCACCGGGTTGAACTTGTGGCACCTGCCAAGTCAGAGCGACAGGGTAAGCCAACATTTTTCAATTTTGAGTTCCCGTGCGTCAGAAACCACTTCTCCGTCCATCCTTGTGTACCAAGCTATCACCTGCACAATTACAAAAGACAAGTCAACTTTCACTAGCTGCATTTGGTTTTAATCACAGTACCGTTAATACAACTAAAAAATGGCGTGGAAGTTAAAGCCTGTCTATATGGATGTATCTTTCTAGTTAAGTAATCGCCATACTTGGATTTTTAGAAAATAGTTTAATGCTAGACCTTAGCACAAGGTGTACGTTATGAAGCTAATTTTTTTTTTTGGTAAAACGTTCAACTGCAAGAATTATGAATTTAACTAAACCATTAGTCTTATTTTTTTTTTTCAGAGCAAAATTTAATACTAGTTAAGCGTGATAACTGGTTAGTTAGTTTAATGTTTATTATGCACCCCATACCCATCCTGTGGGCGTAGTCAAAAGATTACAGAGGTACACAATTGGTCCAGGGACTGGACTCCAAAGTTTTGATAGCTGAGCAAGTTACAGAGGCAATGAACTCACAATTTACAAAGGTAATGAACTCCAGGTAAGTCTGGTCACAATCATGACAAGTTACAAAGGTATGAAGTGGTATTTGCAAATTTGAGGGAGATAAATTAATCCCGAATACCATGAACCTTCCAGTACACTAGCTCCATAATTTATGCAGACCTGAAGGGCATTGTCCTATTATCAGACTGATCTTGTGTTTGGCAGATTTATACAATAAAGCCTTAACTTGAAAGATTAATCATTAAAAATTGTAGTTCAGACTGTTTTAAGGGACAGTAGAAGTTTCAGTAAAATATTTTAAGCTGATAGGAAAACATTCTTGGCCGTACCCATTGGGAATAAGAGTTACTGGTATCATGAATATTCTCACGGCCATAGTAAACAGTTTTGTACGATGGCTAACCATGGCAGTTGGAGAGAAACCATTGGAGGTAGATCAATAGCAATACTTAGGAAGCCTCTTATAATCTCGCTTGGGGGATGGGGAAGATCATCCACGAGGCTCTCCATTCTAACAGGCAGCTCCTCTTCCACTAGATGGTATTCTTTAACTTGCCAGTATTGGATCTGTCCACGCGATACCACCTGTCCACACAATCTTAATAAATACCATGGCTGGAAAAAGCTAATTATCTAGAAAAATAAAGCTATGGGTAATGGTCCATTATCTCTTAGTTCTATATCAAAAGCAGTAATAAATTGTGGATGTGTACCACTACATTCATAATTTAAAAATAAGGGGGGGGGGGAGCCTTGCCTGTAGGTGGATTTCTGCTGTAGGCTGGGATGCAGAATACCACAGTGTGAGCATATGTTGCCTAGGATGACCATCAGCACAGGGCAATTGACCATCTGGTGCACTGATTAGAAGGGAAGAGTTCGAAGGAGAGTAGTAATGTTCAATGGCCTTGTAGAAGGTGCCTTCAATCCATGCCGGCACGACAGTCCAAAGCTTTCATCTGGATAATTACATCGAGGGGTACGAGGTAAAACGTTAATAAAACTTTTGTGCAAGCTTTTCCAACGCCTGCACACCTTTCAGATCAATAACAATTAAGGCTACTAAAAAGTGATCGTTTAAAATAGTACATTATAATCAAGGGGAAAGCGCTAAACCCGTAGGATTATACAGCGCCTGTAGAAGGTATTCAGGTTTAATTCAAGGAACTGGAGCACAGATCCAATTCCCTATATCAAGAGCCCCTCAGCAGCATCAAGGATGCTTCATTGAGGGGATATGTATATAGTTTCTTTTGTAGGTCATCTAAATTCTTCAGTTTTAAGGGAGACGGAGCAGCATCAGTTAAATATTTGCCAAAGTACCTTTAAAAAAAGTTCAGTTCATTAAGATTTATTCAAAATATTTTTAGCTAAAAAATACATTGCTCAACCTTAAAGGTTGAAATTTATTAATTAATCTCGGCACGGTTTTACGAAGGGGCGTTCGTCTTAGGAATTTATTTTCACCAAGGTATTTGAAGAGGTAAATCATGGTATTGAACGATAATGTATATGGACTTAAGGCTTTCTATAGTTCCACACAAGAGGCTCTGGGGGAAACCCGAGGCACACGGAATAGAAATTTTCCTGGGTAGAGGCACGGTTGACAAATAGGCAGCAGAGTTTGCATAAAGGGGAGAAATCAGAATGAGGGAAGTCACAAGCGGTGTTCCTCAGGGGTCAGTGTTGGGCCCCTTGTTCACAATTTACATAAAAGACTAGGGGGGGGAATTTGCAGACACCAAATAGACTTTCCAATTCATTCTAACGAGGACAGCACTCCAGGAGGATTTGAATAAACTGATGCAGTGGTGGGAGACGTGGCAGATGCAGTTTAATAGACAAATTCAAAGTTCTAAATGTTGGACAGGAAAATAACCATGCCAAACAATATGATCTTAATATTAAGGATTGCGAAAGTAAGAGTGTTAGTAGTAATCTGAAACCAAGAGCGCAAAAGTGTTCGCAATAAAACTAAATCGTTGGCTTCATATAAGTATAAATAATAGAAGTCCGCAGGCCTCATTAGATTTTGCTGCACAGTTTGGTCACCGTTACAGAATGGATATAAATGCACTGGAAAACTTAATAAAGGAGGATGACAAAGTTGATCCTACGTATCAAATCTTCCCTATGATTATCGACCGAGGACCCTGAATATACACTCTAGAAAGGCGTAGAATTATGGGGGATATGACTGGTGTATATAAATGGTGAACAGGAATTAATAAAGGCAGGTTCATGAGCTGTTCCGGGGTTTGTACAGAGGGGAGGATCTAAGGGAGTGTGAGGCAGCGTTACGGGTGATGGCTTTGGTTCGAGACAAAGGAAGGTTAGGGTGAGGGTTTTACAAAGTGCGATGGGGAGGCTTGAGGCGCAGGTGGGGGGGGGGGGGGAGAGGAGCTCTACCCAATTTACGATTGGGCATCTATCTGGAGAGGTTCAGGAGGTTGAGTTGCAACCACGGGTGAGGAGGTCATGTTTCCGTTTTTTTCGTCTGCGTACTTTAATTGTATACCATACCCCCGGCCGGGATTGAACCGCGGTCATAGAGTCTCAAACTCCAGCCCGTCGCGCTAACCACTAGACCAGCTAGCCACAATAAGATTCATCCAACTAGGTATATTTCTACACCATACATTCGGGGGAAGGGGGGGTTAGTTACTATCTGGGAGACTAGGAGTTTTAAAATGCTGTACTTACCGAGAGCCTTTTGGTCGAGTATGACGGGAGGACTAATTGTTAACAAACCATCTTCAGGAACCACCATCACTGTACACTTGTTTGAAGCACACAGCTCCACTGCTACCCCTGAGGCAGCAGATTTGTCTGGTAGCTCTGCTCTTACCTGAAGAGATGAACTAAATACATTGTCTAAGCTTAAGTGTTACTTTTACTTTCAAAGATCTCGCAAAATTCGTACTTTATATAGTTTGGGAAAGCTCTCGAGATCAGCGGAGAATACAGCCTTCAATTTTTGGTTAATTAGAAGTGTTCAGCGGCCAGTTTTGTTTAAAGAAAAACTGATGACAAAGCGACTTGCCTGGACGGTGTATGGAAGGTAATGCTTCATGTATGTATCCTCATTCACAGATCTGAAAGTTACTTCAGTGTGGAAGACACTTATGACTGCCTCGCCTGAGAGCTCCACCCCAGTGCCTTCCTCAGTGACCCTGGCCACTGCTAGTAGAGTGTACACCTGGCAGTCTATTACTTGCAATTCAGCCGCACTGAACACGAAATCTTGGCACTCAAATATCTGTACCAGGTGAAACATTAAATTTATAGAGGCATACTCTTCCCCTCAATTTAACATCGAGGGGAATGTTTAAGTGTACAGTAAGCATGCATTTTAAATATGCTAATAGCTTCAATGTATTGAAGATTACAAGAGTGAATATCCATCAGCCTTTACATTCTGACCGGGGGGGGGGGGGATTTTGATGCACGTCTGGAAAAATAGACTAAAAGAGGTCCAATACAGTATGTTAAACAATTTACTATAATTTATGTAAACTAAGACTATTTAGATGGTACAATACTGCAAAACTGCTGCGGTAGTTTTGCTGCAAGAAAGACTTGCGAGTTTCCTGGAATTTGAAGTGCAGCAATAGTGATTGCGAAGTATTCATACCTAATAAACTGTTACTCGAAACTGGCACCACCCCCTATAAAGGCAGATGTTACTCGGTAAGTACCCATCGCAAAAGAACCGTCGCTGACACTTAGTATCTGCAGTCATTAATTTAAAACTCTTACAATGGAAGCAAGGAAGCCCATTTTAGTTTTGGCTTAAATAGTTATGCATTTTAAGAACCCTCAATTTATGGCGATAGTTTAACTCCTCACGGAAAGACCCACTTTTTAAAACCAGTTTTGGGTTTGCTTGCTTTATTTGGTAATAAAATTTAAATGCTGTCTATACACTAGACCTGTATATTTTGGTGCATTTTCCCAAAACGAATTAAAAAAAAAGGGGGGGGGGAGGTTAGAGTTAATTTCAAGGTATTAGTTTAAAAATGGGAGTGTAAGGTAATTCAACTGGGGTTGCCGAAATACATTTTAAAATAAATTAAAAATGTTTCTGCATGTAAAAATGGGAAGACATTTTATGTCAGACTAACAGTGTTTTCCTTGGTGACGTTTGATAAGCATTGTCTATTTTTGCCCATTGTTCCCCCTTTTCCCCTCGCCGTGCCGTTCACTGGTTGACCAAACGTGTATCTGGGAAAAAAAAAAAAAGCCATGAGCGCCAGCTTTATTTATTAACACTGCATTAAACTAAGTCAGTGTCCTACCTTGCACAGACGTTAATTGTAAAGTGGGTTTTCCGTGATCAGAACGTATTTTGTGGCCATCACCGTCACTTCAAAGCGTGGCAGAACGTACTGTTCTACTTTAAAAATCATCGTCCTCTTGCTTCGGTAGATTCTACGTGGATTTTTGTAAAGACCCTACAAAAGAGGTGGCAATTCACTTAATTTGTTTTAAGACTAATGCTAAAGATAATTTAGATTAATTAGACTAGGGGACTGTACCTGCTCAAGTTACATCAGCCAGTTTTAAACGAGAGATGGACCAAACCATTTTCAATTGGGCAACGTTGAGCCACTGTGCTACGCGGGTATCAGAGGGAGTAGTTATCCACACGAGAGAGTACTGCGGAAATGTTAGATTAATAATTTTGGTTTAATTTATTTTTCTCGGCAGAGCATTTAAACTAGTAGATTTTTCATCCTTTCCCCTCCCCCTCACTGGTTAGTCATTGCTGCTTTACACAAATAACCCGCACATAAAAAAGAAGCTTACGACGACGTTTCGGTCCGACTTGGACCATTGAGTGACTGTCAATGGTCCAATCGGACCGAAACGTCGTAAGCTTCTCTTATGTGCGGGGGGGGGGGTGGGGGTGGTGGGTGGGGGGTGTGGTGTGTGTGTGTGTGTGTGTGTGTGTGTGTGTGTGTGTGGTGTGTGGTGTGTGTGTGTATCGTTCCAGTCACGGTATTGTGCCTTTTGTTATTTATTGCTGCTTTTTTAATCTGGTACTAAGGCAGCCAAAAATTAAATAACTACGCATACCGTGTCAGTGTAAAGTATTTAGACCGTGCCTTACCAGAAGGCAACGGAAGAGCACTGATGAGACTTGGATAATCTCAAAGTAAAAGAAAAATACCTAAACTGCAGTTTAAACTACCAAACTTGTACAAGTTTATGCCACGAGTCTTCCATATTGGTAGTGGTACCTGCAAAGTGGCGGCTTAAACATTGCTGATTAAACATCCTGATTAATAGGGGGCGAACACGTCCAAAAAGTAGGATTTTTTCCGAAAAGCTAACCGTACACCTGCTACTGGACAGAAAAGGCACATCAGGGCGAGCACCATGTACTCTTAGCCTCTATTTTAGTCCCTTTCCCCAGAAAGGCATTCATCCAAGAAAAAAAGATGGAATACTTAACTAAAATTTAAATTAAAAAAAAATCAAAAATTATCGAAACTAGTGGAACTTTCACGTGAGTAAATACAATGAGACTTGTTTGCTTGGGTAGTACTTAGTACCATTCATCTACAATAAAGTACTTATTCTGTTAGTGGGTTAGATTTGTGAAGGACCTGACTAGTATGGGCCAACAGGCGTACTGCAGCGTTTCTCCTTTAAGTTATCTTAGTGAAGTAGCAAAGCGAAAGTCACTGGAAAATTAAATTGTTCGTCAGCATCATATATACACAGGTAAAGGGCCTGGAGCACCTGGCAACAAGCGAATTGTGTGCCAGAGCCTCCAGCAACATTCGAAAAAGGATTTTTGATAAAGGGACGCAAGCCCATGGTCTGCCGGAAATACCAGGCTTTGACTTAAGAGGGAAGGGTGTGTAGGATATTTTCTGTATTGCAGACATTTGTGCAACATGGGAATCTTTATTGAAGAAACTTCTCGCCAATACAGATCGGAAGTTGTATGGAGAAGAGCGAGGTACTCAGTCCTTCAGCCTGGAGTCTTCAGTCCAGTCTTGTAGGGTCAGCCATACAAAGGCTCCATCGATTGCTCTTACATAATTAACTGCCGCCCGTGTATGGTTATTAACTGCAAGAGTCTTATTTGAAATGTTAGAAGCACTACTAGTATGGCACAGCTGTCAACTGAAAAGATGTCCAGCAGCTACCAGACATGTTACTAGGTGGTTTAAGTTCCACCTTTGGGGAATTACAGGTCACCTTAGTACTGCAAATAAGTTAATTGTTTAAGCTAAATACCGAGGTCATGCATTGTAGTCTCGTTTTGTCTAAAAGGTCTAGCCTTTGGTAGGAAAAACTTAGACATTGGGCCAAAAGCAAACATACGCAAATGGGGGGGGGGGAAGGGGGGAATTTTTTATTACCATGTAGGTCTAGTCAGTAAATCCAGTTTAAAGTTTCCACGTCTAAGATGAGCTTTCCCAGATGATGCACGACCCTTGTCTGTTAGCACTTTTAATAATTTTCCCCAGAGGGAGGTGGATAAAGTCAATCTTTCGCCCTTCACTAATGCACAAAGTACAAAGTGGATGGTATTTACTAAATTTAATAAAGGACAGGCAGAGCACGAAGAACATGTGGATCTGGTTACAATCAGATATTACAGTGGACAAAATATGATAATCTAAGATTTGCCACAATGGGCAAGATTCATAGTAAATATTGAGAAAGAAAAAAATGCTAATCCTATAAAAAACTAGTCATTCAGCAGTGAGCATTTAATGAATATATACGTAGACTAAAAGGCGGCCAGGATCGAGGTGAAAGCTTTCACTGGTCAAGGTAAATTTTTTTTTTTGAATCCTGAATTCAAATTAAGAGGCTAGTCCAAAATTTACGGACTTATAACAGAACCCTTAGGGAATGATTTAACCAATAAAGGGAGAATATCAAACTTAACCCGTAAACTGTCCAAACTTTTATATAAGTTTTTTCAAACACTTGAAAACTTAAAGTAGATTTTTTTTACAGGTTAATCTTCGACTGCAGACTACTGCTGGACAATGGTGAGGAGAGGGTAATGCAGAACAGTGAAGCCTGAAGACTTAAATTTAAGACTAATGCAAATTAGTAGTGTATATAATTTGTGTTAAAGTTGGCGCTGTATGCACCACTATCCAGGCATTACAGACCTAGAGTACAAAACTTTCGCGGCACACAAGTACGATAATACACCAAAATTACTGGGAATGTTGAAGGTCCTTTATCTGTATTCCCGGAACGCAGGCGAAAGAGATACACTTTGAATGTCTTTGGGATGGGGGTAGTATTGGTACCAAACCTACAACACGAAAATCTCCATGAAAGCGAAAGATGGCAGGAGATGAAACATTTTCCCGATGAAAAGCAGGGGCGCCACAAGCAAATAGAACACTAAGTGTCCGTGGCCACAAGACTTCAACCTCCTCCAGCATACACAAGGGGGATTACCAATAGACCCCTGGCTGTTCAAGAAGGCACTAGACAGGCACCTAGTCGGTACCTGATCTACCGGGCTATGGTTCGTACGTCAGCTTGCGTGCGGCCAGTAGTACAGCCTGGATGATCAGACCTGATCCACCATGAGGCCTAGTCTCGGACCGAGCAGCGGGGGCGTCGACCCCCGAAACCCTCTCCAAATAAACTCCAGGTAAGTAACGTTAAATCTTTAATAGGCCAAGTCTTTTATACAAGTCTTAAAAAAAAATTAAGTTTTACTAAAATCAATTAGTGATAGGCATTAAGATAATTAATGCCTATCACTAATTGATAAAGGAACAAAAGTTATAATTTTTTACAAAAAAAAAAAAAAAAAAAAAAAAAAAAAAAAAAAAAGCAAAAGTTCCAGTCATTTCAGGGAACCCATTCATTAAATCTAAATTTAGACTTCCGGCCCTTCGTGCTCTTAAAACGGAAATTTGTACATTTACGATGGCGATACCAGTATCTGTAGTAGTCAAATGCAGTGATCACAAGTTAGATACGAGTTAGATATTAGTCAAAAAGTGAAAGCTTTTAAATAACAGCAATTTTCTGGTTTTGGCATTTTAATTAGAGAAAAAATGCTATAAAATTCTAACAATAGGAAGTACACGTAGTGTTTACTTTCTTACCTTTTGGGTAGAGATGTGCATGTAAGGCCCGGACAGTGTGAGAATTCTGAACTGAACTATCTGGCCTGGTAGGTAGAGGGACTTGTCAGTTTGAATGAAAATCATCGGGGAAATGGGTCTAAGGCTTTAGAGGGGCAGTGTGGTTGAAGTGTGTCCCGTGCAGTTGACCCGTCAGTTCCACTATGCCACTAGTGTACGTAGTTTTTGGCACAACTATTTCTTCACACCAAGCTCCTTTACCTGCAAAAGAGTAAAATTTTTCATGCTGGTCATAAACTGGATCGTAAACATTACTACAGACTAATGCGTATACTTGCTAATTAGATAACGGAGAGTGAAATTGAAGTGGCTATGTACCGTTTTGCCCACTTTAGGGGCGGAAAGTTAAACTGTCGAGTAATAAAATTTAAGACTAGTACTTTATTAAGGACTAATACTGCATGGGTAATTCAAGTAGGAGAAACTTTTAGAGGGTGTGGTAGGCAAGTTTGGGGTGCCAGGTGTAAATGATAATGGGAGCCCTTTGAACTTTGTATAGAAAGGTGTTTAGTTATAGGTAATACATTAAGAAAAAGAGGATAAGTATAAAAGATATGATGTAGGGCGAAATGACAGTAGTCTGTTGGATTAGGTATTGGTAGATAAAAGACTTTAGTAGACTTCAGGATGTACATGTTGATATAGGGGCAACATATCAGAACCACTTTCTAGTTGTAGCTACACAGTAAAAGTAGATGGGATAAAAGGAGAATAGAAGCATCAGGAAGGGAGGTGAAGGTTTATAAAATAAAGAGGAGGCAGTTAGGGTAAGATAAACAGCTACTGGAGGATAGATGGGCTAAAGAGCATAGGAAATGGGGTCGAAGAGGTATGGGATAGGTTTAAAAATGTCGTGTTAGAGTGTTCAGCAGAAGTTTGTGGTTACAGGAAAGTGGGTGGCGGGAAGGAAGAGCGATTGGTGGAATGATGTAAAGAGTAGTAAGGGAGAAAAAGTTAGCATATGAAGTTTTTACAAAGAAGTGATGCAAGAGGGAAGAGTAATATGGAGAAAAAGGTTAAGAGTGAAGCAATGTAAAAAGAGCAAACGAGAAATGGGCGAGATAAACAAATTTTGTTGAAAATAAGGTTTTGGAGTGAGATTAACAAGTTAAGGAAGCCTAGAGATCAAATGGATTTGTCGGTTAAAAATAGGAGAGGAGAGTTATTAAAGGGAGAGTTAGAGGTTATGGGAAGATGAGGGAATATTTTGAGGAATTGTTAAATGTTGATGAAGATGGGAAGGTGTGACGTGTATAGGGCAAGGAGGAATAACATCTTTGAGTGGGAAGAGCCAGTTGAGAGTGTGGGGAAGTTCGTGAGGTAGTAGGTAAAATGAAAGGGGGTAAGGCAGCGGGGATTGATGGGATAAAGATAGAAAGTGTAAAAGCAGGTGGGATATAGTTTGGAGTGGTTGGTGCAATTATTTAATAAATGTATGGAAAAGGGTAAGGTACCTAGGGATTGGCAGAGAGCATGCATAGTTCTTTTGTATAAAGGCAAAGGGGACAAAAAGAGTGCAAAAATTATAGGGGGATAAGTCTGTTGAGTATACCTGGTAAATTGTATGGTAGAGTTATTATTGAAAGAATTAAGAGTAAGAGAAATATGATAGCAGATGAACAAGGAGGCTTTAGAAAAGGATGTGTGGACCAGGTGTTTACAGTGAAACATAAGTGGACAGTAGTATTTAGACAAGGCTAAAGGTCTTTGTGGCATTTATGGATTTGGAAAAGGCGTATGATAGGGTGGATAGGGGGGGGGGCCAATGTGGCAGGTGTATGGTGTAGGAGGTAGGTTACTGAAAGCAGTGAAGAGCTTTTACGAGGATAGTGGAGGCTCAAGTTAGAGTATGTAGGAAAGAGGAAATTATTTCCCAGTAAAAGTAGGCCTTAGACAAGGATGTGTGATGTCACCGTGGTTGTTTAATATATTTATAGATGGGGTTGTAGAGAAGTAAATGCAGGGTCTTGGCAAGAGGCGAGAGTTAAAAGATAAAGAATCACAAAGTGGGAGATGTCACAGTTGCTCTTTGCTGATGAGACTGCTCTTGGGAGATTCTGAAGAGAAGCTGCAGAGGTTGGTGGATGAATTTGGTAGGGTGTGCAAAGAAAATTAAAAGTGAATACAGAAAGAGTAAGGTAATGAGGATAAAAAGATTAGGTGATGAAAGATTGGATATCAGATTGGAGGGAGAGAGTATGGAGAAGGAGTGAATGTATTCAGGTATTTGGGAGTGGAAGTGTCAGCGGATGGGTCGCTGAAAGACTAAGGTGAATCAGAATTGATGAGGGGAAAAGGGCGAGTGGTGCACTTAGGAGTCTCTGGAGACAAGAACTTTGTCCTTGGAGGACAAGAGGGAATATATGAGAGTATAGTTTTACCAACGCTCTTATAGGGGGTGAAGCATGGGTGATGAATGTTGCAGCGAGGAGAAGGCTGGAGGCAGTGGAGATGTCATGTCTGAGGGCAATGTGTGGTGTGAATATAATGCAGAGAATTCGTAGTTTGGAAGTTAGGAGAGGTGCGGGATTACCAAAACTGTTGTCCACAGGGCTGAGGAAGAGTTGAGGTGGTTCGGACAAGTAGAGAGAATGGAGCGAAACTGACTTCGAGAGTATCAGTCTGTAGTGGAAGGCAGGGTAGGGGTCGGCCTAGGAAAGGTTGGAGGGAGGGGGTAAATGAGGTTGTGCGCGAGAGGGGCTTTGACTTCCAGCAGGCATGCGCGAGCGTGTTTGATAGGAGTGAATGGAGACAAGTGGTTTTTTAATACTTTACATGCTGTTGGAGTGTGAGCAAAGTAACATTTATGCAGGGGTTCAGGGAAACCGGCAGGCCGGACTAGTCCTGGAGATGGGAAGTACAGTGCCTGCACTCTGAAGGAGGGGTGTTAATGTTGCAGTTTAAAAACTGTAGTGTAAAGCACCCTTCTGGCAAGACAGTTGATGGAGTGAATGATGGTGAAAGTTTTTTTCGGGCCACCCTGCCTTGGTGGGAATAAGCCTGTGTGATTAATTCATCTCATGGCCAGAATAGTTTCACTTTCGTGTTGTCAAATTTGTCAAGGCTATAAACAATTAGAATTTATCAATGGACTTTTTTTTTTCCAAAGAATTTTAAAATAAATTTTTGAATTGGTTAAAATTTCACCTGCCGAGTAACCTTCCTTAAAATATTGCATGGTGTGGTGCCCTAGTAGGGTTACCGTCATTGTGCGTTATCTAATGTCAGCTTTCATAATTTCAAAGCTGCTCATCCGATCAGTTTAAAATTTTGAACCGTGACCAGCTGTTGCTAGGGAAGTGCCGAGGACAACTGACAGTGCAGGTGCTATGCTCAGTTTTAGAGTACTCCCTAATTTTATTTTCACGAAAGATTAAAGTGATCATTTGACCTTCAAAATTTCAGGCTTCGGCTGATTTTACATTTCAGGATGGTGCGTTGATGGGAGCCGAGACTAAAGATTCATGCCCAAATATCCGTATGCGTGTTATTTAAGCAAGACTAGTGGATTGAACATTTAAATTAACTTTTACAATACATTCACATGCTGTTTTATAAGTATAAGTGCATGTGCATATTTACACTTTCATATTGTACGTAAATTTGTATGCGCGAGCAGGTTTACACCAAGGCGTGTGCCAGCATGAAGTTAATGTATACTTCATGCATGCATGCATGCATGTGTAATTATAGATACATACATTCCTAGGAATGAACGCGTACGCACAAACTTTACAAGTTTTGGTGCAATGGAATATTACGACTATCTTCCACTATGCAGTTTGGTGTATTGTGGGGGGGAAGGAGGAGAGACTGGGCTCTTGAATTAAGAGATCATTTTCCCCGGTTGCACAGTGATCCAAAATCAGTAATGCTTTAAAGAAATTAACTTTTAGGCCTACGTAATTATTTTTCATGCACAAACTAGAAAAAATACTGCAGTTCTCCGTAAGGTTTTCCAGAAGTTCTACGGCTCGTGCAGTTTAAAAAGAGGGTTTATGGCCTGTGTACCAAGCACTAAGAACAGCCTACATTCAACTCTGGAATCGAGTTTCACAATATACTATATACCTTGTTTGGGTTTAATTTAAAATGCCTACCTACAGATTTTGCCACTTACCTGCAGGGAAATTTAACAGAGCCTCAGTTATTTGTACATTTTCCTGGGTGAAGGGATAGTTGTAGCTCACGAGATTGACTTTGATAACTACTGGTACACGACTAGTGGTGAAGAGGCACACTTTATTAGGCTCCTCCGCAGTCCACTGCCGGGGCGTGGTGATCATGTAGCTTCTGCAGAAGCAAAATACTATTAAACTTCATAATTAAGTCTGCTTCTGCCAACCAGTTTAACGACATCGGTTAGGGAAAACTAGGGGTTTCCAGTACAGGTTATGATGGGAGCACTGAAAGACGTGCTTAAGTAAATTATCTGGTCGAGTGCCATTGGTGGGTCATAAGAGCGACCATTCGCTTATTTGTGGTAGAATCTATTCAGTACTTTAAGTAGTAATCCAAAGAATTTAGAAAATTTTTCTAGAACCCATGTAGTATTTCAAGTGCCAGAAGTTTGACTTCAATATTTTTTTTTTTTTTTTTTCCAATGCGGCAATTTGGCAAGTGTTCGCTAGATAAACTGGACAGCCAGAGTATAAAGTCCTCAGGATCAGAATTAATAACTGGTTATTTTAGCAACAAAGTAGGTAACTGGGTAATTAAATTAAACTAATTAGATTATACTAAGAGAAAAGCATGATAAATTAAAGACTTAAGAAAGTGACCGCCTTTTTAACAAATCTCCAATATTAGGAGTTTGCTACATTCGTTTTCAACCTCTTTCCAGTCCTTCATACCGGAACCGAAACAAGAGGTAGTCTAACCATTTAGATTTTTCTTTAATAAAACTAAGGGATAAAATGTTTGGAACCCAAAATGGGTTGGTAGGGCCTAGTCTGATCAAATTTAGAGAAAAGATGACCCAGCGTAGGAGATGGAATCATTTAATCCATAGGAGAGCGCCAAGAGAAAGATCAATTTAGAATAAAGAGCACCTCTTTCCTGGTTGAAGATACCGTCCAAAGCATAAATGCTACCCCTACTCTTGCATCTTAAAGAGGAAGATGTGGGGGGGATGGGGAGAGAGGGATCTATCCAAAGATAACAAGCTACCCTTTCTTTAATAAAACAGAGCATCTGGAAAATGTTGGGTTAACATTCTAATGGAGCAAGCACTTCCCAGTAGTGCTATATTTAAAGGCAGCAGGAAAACGAATGCTATATCCCAAGTTACTGTCATCTGCATCCAAATAACCGTGTACTTAGAGCCCCATTAGAGTATCAATTTAAATGGTACAAATTAGTTTCAGCCAGAACTTAAGTTTCATACTATTTATCAAATTTCTGCTACTTAAATCGCTATTTAAAAAAGTTAATTGCACAAGTCAAGATCCCGCTAGAAAGCATGCATATAAAAATTCGCAACACTAAGTCCAGGCAATTACAATACATCGTAAAAATTATCTGAGAGGTGTTTTATACCTGTAGGGATTCCACAGCGCCTGGAAGGGGGGGGGTGGAATTTAAGGTATTCTGCCTGTTCAGGATCTGGAGTCCCTCACCAGCGTCAAGGAACTTCACTAAGGAGACTGCTACATATAAGGTTACTATAGAGATTTGGAGTTAACCAAAAGCGCTCTCTCTTATCAAGTGTGTGAACGTTAATATCTAAAATTACCCGATTACCAAGACAGTTATAATTACCGTCGTGTAGGTACGTGCAAGAAGTTAACTTTCATATCCCCCCCCCTTCCTGTAAACTAATACCCTCGGAACTAAATGGCTAAAAGAAAAAAAAAAAACTAAGCGAAGTTTCGTTTAAAAGAAAAGTTAAAAACAAATGGAATGTTTCCCTTTCATTACATATACCTGAAGTTGTTTGAAGGTTATTTCACCTTTCTAAAAGTATGAACAAGACTACCGATCAGATTGATTTTAACGCTCGTGTAATTTAATTAGGGAAAGGTAACAAAGCGAGAAAAAAGAAACTGGGAAAGTTCACCCAGTTTCTGTGCGATAACTACATTAGTTTAAAAATTTTCAATCTCTGATGCAGCTTCAAGCGAGTTCTTGAAGTAAATAGGAAAGAGGGGAAGTCATCAAACTAGGCTGAATTGCTTCAAGCCTAGAGGGGATTTATACCCTGATGAATGACAAGTTCAAACATTTCTTCTGGTCCTCTTCAAATTTAGTGTTAACGAGCGTCGACACTGAGCTAGGCAAGAGTCTTGGTTTTATTCACAAAGATTTTACCTTCCAGCAAATGGAGAGCCTAGTACAAGCAATTCCATTCGCGCTCACGCTAATACATTGTAGTTTATTTTCTTGATCTTTATGCCTAAATTTGCCAACATACGCAGTTAAATTTTGCAGTTTTCGGGATCAAAGTACGATAACTGGAAAGTCTTTCTGCTTCAAAATTTGAGGAAAATATGGAGTAAGTTAATTTTCCCAGTGTTAAATGATCACTGAAAAAAAAGGTAAGATACTTATTAGGCAAGTCAAGTCAATTTAACAATTTAGTTGAAATTAAACATCTGCAATGCTACAGGGTCATTTAGAAGGGATAACTAGTTAAAAATGAAAGTGTTCTAACGGGACAAGAGAATTTAAAGCTCACGTGATTAGTTTCCATGAAGGATTTTACAGCACAAGTTCCACACAGGTATTCATTTGCATGCACGCAAATTTTACTGCATTGTAAGTTCTATGATGGCTCTGCAGTTATCTTTAGTGTATTAAGATAGAGGGCTCTGGGCTACATTTTTGATCTCTCAGCTACCAGAACGGGTTAAATTAAAGTTTCATGCAGCTGTAGTCAGGTAGGTTTCAATGCAAGGATGCCAGAGCCATTGGGCATTTTTTCAAATCAGTTTGTTCCGTAAAGAATTCAAATAACACAAGACAGGAGCAATTGTACGGGCCTAGAGCACAGTGGTCAACAGCCTTCCTCTATAGCTAGTAAAAGAAGTCTACCACTTGGGTTATGTACAAAATTAAGTAGAAAGACGCAGGTTAGCCCATGAATTTTATCCAAAAATTTCAGGAGTGCCTATTTTAAAATGTAGAGTACAATAGACTATCTTAACTGAGCTACTTATATTTTCAATTTATTAACTAATACGAAGCTACTGTCAACATAAGGAAACTTATTTGGTAGCACTAGGATTTGCCATACAGTAACGGTGCTATTTCTGAAGTTTACACTATGAACTTCACTGCTGTTATAGTGTGCGTCTAAAGTAGCTCTATATATACATATAATCATAAGCCATGTTATACTTATGGCAAAAAACAGATGTCATTTCGACAATATTTACCCATAGCAAGATCCAATTATAGAGACTACACACGACACTTGGAGGAATAACACATGAAGTCGCTCCATGACAACAGACGGACACCAACTGATTGGTAGGTTACAGTTCTTGTTGGGAAGAAGGGTTGGTTCAGCGAGCTTGTTAATGGGGTCTAAAGCCTGTCAACTACACGAGGGTCATTAAGGCTGTATGTAATATGCTCACCACCAGACAAGAACACTAATCCCTAAGAAGGGGAGGGATGGGTCTGTTGGATCTCCGGAAAAGGGTTAAATGTGTTTTTATAAGGCGTGAGGTGTTGGGTAGGGGAATTCCGGGGGGGGGGGGGAAGTTGGGAAAGGTTCATGAGCTGTTGCGGGGTTTGTACAGGATCTAAGGGAGTGTGAGGCAGCGTTACGGGTGATGGCTTTGGCTCGAGACGTAAGGAAGGTTAGGGTGAGGGTTTTACAAAGGGCGATGGGGAGGCTTGAGGCGCAGGTGGGGAAGGAGCTCTACCCAATTACGATTGGGCATCTATCTGGGAGAGGTTCAGGAGGTTGAGGTTGCAACCACGGGTGAGGGAGGTCATGTTCCGATTTTTGCACAGGATTTTGCCTTCTAGTGTGGTTTTGCTAGATAGGAGGGGGGGGGAGGTTCGTTGTGGGTTGTGTGGGAGGAGGACACGGCTCTCCATGCTGTTTTTGCACTGCTGGCCTTGCTACTGGCAAGTCACAGTCGCTCCTCAAGTAGTGTCCCTGCGATCCCCGTTGGGGAGGGGAACCTCTACCTCACCGATTACCCACATCAAGATCTCAAGATGAGTTACTCCAACAGAGTCAAGATTAAACCTACAAGTGGTTTGATCAACGACTCCACCAAGCTTGCCCTTGCTGTAACTGTCAGGGGCTTGAACATCAAGGTCAACACGATCCTTTCCCTCCAAGAATCCTTCATCATCGTCTGTGAGGACGATGTGGAGGCCGAGAAACTGCTGACTGGAACTGCCCTGACTACACTACAAGAACGTGGCTACAGAATCATGTCCTCTCCAGCCTTAAGGGCCTAGAGGACTGTCTTTCTGAAGCGCCTGGACAAGCTGATCACTTCTCAGACCATCGAAGACCTCAAACAATCTGTCGAAGACCAGAACCCTTGGGCCACCGTGGAAAACATTAACAAGATTCCCACGGCCTCTTCAATGCTCAAGATCACCTTTACTGACGTCACAAGCTTCCCAAGCCAGGCTGAGGGACTAGCCATCTACTATTATTTTATCAACGCCTGCAACATTGAAGCTGAACGTTACCACCACGTCTCTCAATGCTGGACCTGTTTCTCTTACCTCCACTCAACAAAAGACTGCCCTACAAAAGACAAGAAATTCTGTTCCACCTGTGGTAATGAGGGCCACGACTCTAGGACATGCTCTTCCACCGCTACTCTCAAGTGTCTAAACTGCAAGAATAACCACCACACTCTCGCAGCAAAATGTCCTACCCGTCGTGATATCATCAAAAAGAACATAGAAGCAAATCAGAAGAAGTCTCCATTAAGATCACCCACGTATGCAGCTATCCACAAAACTGCAGGCCGACACCACCAAACTCCTGAAATCATCCCAGCTCTCCACCACCAGTATCTCCACTCCAGCATGAGACTCAACAAAAATACAGTACTGCTTACTGTATGCTCACATGCACAACATGGCAGCACCAGGCTCCTTCAACACTACCATCAACGAACTCTTCAGACTAAATAACATGCCGGTATTCACCTTCCCAAACTCTCCACCTTCTGCTGACATAATCAAGCTCACCCAAGCACCAGTAAACATTACCACTCCAATAACCACAACACAAGATACAACGCAAGTACATCAACAACAACAACAACAACTCCACCGCGCCACCGACCAATCAGCAGCCTCACCTGATCTAACCCGAGACAGCCGCCCACCTCTGCCGACCTACCCATTCCATCGGAATGGGAAAAGAACAAATAGAGCCCAGCCACCGTGGAGAGAAGACGTTGTCGTTCCTGCTCTTCAGTTGAGCAACTCTGAACACTGTTGCTTGAGATTTTTCTTGGGTTATCCTGAGTAGTTCTTCACCAGAGCTGAGAGGAAACTTGCTTGCAGTCACTTCGAGCCCCATCCCATCAAGAGGGTAAGGCGGTGACTTGCTTGCTTGTTCACCCCTCTCATTCCCATCCTCCCCTCACCCAAACATCAACACTGGCCCACACACTAACACACTACATACATTGCTATCCTTCTGACTTTCCTATCTTCTTCTTTTTCGGCAACTTCGCTTTGGCGAGTTAACACAAGGCATTTTGACCATCCGGTAGCCCGTGTGGTTTTTTTAAAATCCGGCCGATCTTTGCCTTAGGCCCTTTCCCCCTCACCACTCCAGGGTAGGCTATCTTAGGGGCTGACCTTCATAAGTCAGCTGAAATAGGATGCTAGAATAACATTAAGGAAAGATCCCTTTTTGTTAAGAAACTCCTCTGCCAGATGTTCCTTCCTAGACATCATGGCGAGGATACGAGTAAGATTACGTGTTGATGGAAACCAAAAGTCGATGAAAGAAATTCTAGCATGTATTTGCTCGAACTCATCTGTTGCTCCAGTGGATTTTTTCAAACCCACGCTGGAGCAGTACTTCTCCTCTCTTCGGAAGAAGAGTTACTTCAACTGCTGAAGCATGATGTCCTCGAAAAACTGAAGACTTCTGGTGTTATCCAGTTGCACCTGAGAGCTATCAAGCTCAGAGGACTGTGTTTGTTGCCAGAATTAACAGTTTCATGAGACATAGCACAGTGAA